ATAGGCTCAATTATGATGATTGGGCTAAGCAAGTTCAATTCTAGTTAGATGTTATGGAGCTGGACCTAACAATCATTATGGAATAGGAGCCTACAGCCATCACAAAAATCAGTTCTGAAGAAGAAAAGACATTTCATGAGGCTTGGAAAAGGTCTAACAGGCTAAACTTAAGTTTGCTAAAAATGACTATGGCTAAAAATGTGAAGCCATTAATGCCAAAGACTATAAATGTTAGAAAATTTATGACAAAGATAAAAAAGTATGCATAATCAGACATTACTGACAAGTCCATTTTAGGTAATCTGTTGACTGAGCTGACTACTAAGAAGTTTGATTGGTCACGGCCAATTCATGACCATATGACTGATATGATCAATAGGCATAGAGGTAAAGGAATTATTTCTAATACAGTTCATTTTGAACTCACTCCCTCTATATATATTGGTCAGTGGATGTCTTACAGGTGTTCATTGATGAGGTGAAAAGCCAACTAGATAGAAAGGTAAAGGTTGTGAGTTCAAATAGAGGTAGTGAATATTATGGAAAATCTGATGAAAGTGAACAATGTCTAGGTCCATTTGCAAAACTTCTAGAAAGTTGAGGCATATGTGCACAGTATACTATGTCTGATACACCATAACAAAATAGTGTAGCTGAAAGGCAGAATCATACTATTATGAAAATTGTTAGGAGTATGTTAAGTTACAGTTCTGTACCTATGTCTTTGTGGATATACGCATTAAAGACCGCTATGTATCTGCATAAGACAATTCCAAAGACTCCTTATGAACTGTAGATAGGAAAAAAACCTAGTTTAAGACATCTTCATGTCTAGGGTTGTCCAGCGGAAGTAAGAGTGTATAATCCATATGAAAATAAGCTTGATGCTAGAACTATTAGTGGTTATTTCATCAGCTATCCTGAGAAATCAAAGGGGTACAAATTCTACTGTCATAATCATAGATGATAATAGTTGAGTCTGGAAATGTAAAGTTCATTGAAAATGGTAAGTTTAGTTGGGGTAATGAAACACAAAAGGTAGAAATTAAAGAGACACATGCGAAAATTCCTATAGTTAGTGTCTCTTTTTAAGTTGTTGTCCCTCTTATTGTATCACAGTCACACAACATAAGGAGACAAGTTAATGTTCTAAACACACAAGAATAACATATAAAGGATGAACCAGTTGACAATGCACAAGTCACAAATGAGCAAAAGGAAGATGAACCACAAGAGATAACAATAAGGAGGTCTGCAAGGCAGAAAAAACCTGCTATTTTAAACAATTATATGGTTTACTCACTTGAGCATGAATGTGACTTGAGTATTGATGAGGATCCAGTCTCATTTAAGCAAGCCATAAAATGTAAGAATTCTGAAAAGTGGTTGAATGCCATGAAAAAAGAGTTAAAATCAATGAGTGACAACAAGGTATGAGATCTAGTTGAGTTGCCTAAAGGTTCAAAATAAGTCAGTTGCAAGTGAGTCTTTAAGACCAAACGTGACTCAAAAGACAACATTGAGAGATACAAGGCTAGACTTATTGCTAAAAGATAGACTCAAAAGGATGACATAGACTATAAAGAGACATTTTCTCTAGTTTCAAAGAATGACTCTTTAAGAATTGTTATGGCTTTAGTGGCTCATTATGACTTAGAGCTTCACCAAATGGATGTAAAGACTACTTTTCTGAATGATGACTTTGAAGAGGAAGTTTATATGGATCAGCTAGATGACTTCTTGATCATAGGCAAAGAAAGTTTGGTGTGTAAGTTAAAGAAATCAATATATGGGTTGAAATAGGCTTCTAGACAATAGTATCTTAAGTTCAATGATACCATCACGTCATATGATTTTGTAGAGAACATAGTTGACCGGTGTATCTACATGAAGGTCAGTGAGAGCAAGTTTATCATTTTAGTTCTATACATTGATGACATTCTTCTTGCTACTAATGATGTTGGGTTATTGCATGATGTAAAAGAATTTCTCTCTAAGAACTTTGAGATGAAAGATTTGCGTGAGGCCTCTTATGTAATTGGAATAGAAATATTCTGTAATAGATCACAAGAATTACTGGAATTGTCTCAGAAAGGCTACATTAACAAAGTCTTAGAGAGATTCAAAATGAAAAAGTGCTCATCAGGGGTAGTTCCAATTCAAAAGGAAGACAAATTTAGTGAAATGCAATGTTCAAAAAATAAGTTGGAACAAAAAGCAATGGAATTTATTCCCTACGCATTAGTGGTCAGGAGTTTAATATATACTCAGATATACACACTCAGCCTAATATCAATTTTACTGTTGGAATGTTAGGCCGATATCAAAGTAATCCCGGAATGGACCACTAAAAGGCTGCAAAGAAAGTTTTTAAGTATTTATAAGGCACCAAGGACTACATGCTTACTTATAGGAGATCTAGTCACCTGGAAGTGGTTGACTATTCTGATTAAGACTATGCTGGATTTGTAGACTCAAAGAAATCAACCTTTGGCTACATCTTCTTGTTTGTTGGAGGTGCGATTTCATGGAAGAGTGGAAAGGAATCCATTATTGCTACGTCTACTATGAATGTAGAATTTGTGGCATGCTTTGAGGCTACTATTCATGCTTTGTGGCTGCAGAACTTTGTCTTAGAGTTTGGTATTGTTGACAATATAGAAAAGTCGCTAAGAATGTATTGTGATAATTCTGCAGCGATTTTCTTCTCTAAGAATGATAAGTACTCAAATAAAGAAAAACATATGGACTTAAAATACTTATCAGTGACAGAAAAAACATATTGGTACTAATTTGATGATAGTGAATCCGTTAACTAAGGGATTGTCTCCTAAAACATTTTCTGACCATGTTGGTTGAAAGAATGGGCATTATGACAAGTCCGTATTAGCATGATTGTGTGATTTACATATATGTGTTTAGATTATTTTGCTCATATTATGTAGACATTTTGGAAATTTAATAAAATTATTATTTCTACGTGTTTATTCATTATCTTAATTATGTTAATGTACATGTATGATTTGAGTTTGATAACAAGTTGAGTGTTAAAAACACATCAGAGTTGCAATATGTAATATGACTGATTAAAGCTATTTTGATTTGAGTTGATTCTGTGACACTTGGAAGGAATCATGTAGATGAATGACTTGTGACCACTATGATTCGATCAATTCAAATCAATAAAAATGATGTCTTGATATTATCAATGATATGCGCATTTACAGTTCATTGAATCTTCAAGTCGTTACATAGGCCAAGCGGGAAATTGTTAGATTATTTTAATAATCTTGTGAAAGTGGCATATGTAACTTATAACATGACTCTAATTAATAATATAATGTAATGGTAGTTAAATATAAAATAGAGTTATTGAGGGTATAATTGAAAATATAGTTATAAGGAAACCCTCCCTCTCTCCCTTCAGATAAAAATAAAAGAGCGGTTACAAAACAAAAGTTATGGTATTCTCTATTGAGATCATCACTTTCACAGTTTCATGGTAATTACAAAAAAGGAACTTTCTCTCAACCATTGGAAAGAAGCTAAAAGAGAAAGAGGAAGGAAGAGTTGGAAAAAATACCAAGAGCTCAACAACAACAAAGAGACAAGTAACATCAAGGAACAATGGATTTATGTTAGTACTCTCTAAACTCTTAATTGAGTGGAAACCATATATATTGTGTTGTAAGAATCACATAATTCAAGATCATATGCAAATGGTAATTTTATAATAGTTACGTCAAAGGTAGAAATTATATAATAGATTAAAAATGTAACACTACTTTCTTAAACAGTACCGTAACTCTTATTTTTTCCATTTAAGTTCTCACTCAAGGATGTTGATTTGTAAACATAGCTTTTGCACAATTGCAATTCCTACCTAGTAAGTGATAATGAGGCTAAGTGCAATTGTGAACCTAAACAATTATAATTCAGTTTAATCTTTTCTCCAATTATAATATTTGGAGGACTTGTTAGCTTTTCAATGTACCATTAACAAAATGGTTGACTTAATATGGAAGTCTTCACAAGAATTTTAACACTACACTATAACCAATGAAGGTTTCAAGCAGGCCAATTCATAGAGACAGGGTAAGTATGCAAATTTAAGGCCTAACGGGTATCCAAGAGAATTGAAACCGTGCAATGCAAAATAATGTTAGGTTAAAGTGTGCAGTCTCAAGTTAACAAAAACTTAAAAGAAGGAAAACATAAATTGGAGTATTGGAAACTTGGATAGTTGTGTTAGGTTGAGATTTGTTTGAAAATTGTGAGTAAGAGGATATATTTGTAATTTTATTTGGTCAAGCAGTGTAAAATAATAAAAATTTTATAATTTTACCTAGTCAAAAATTGCAAAATAGTAAAATTATAGTGGAAGATTACATCGGAAGTTTGTGAACATAAGCAAAAGTTGTCGAACCACGTTAAATAATGTGTAGACTAAAGAGCACTAATTCTAGCCAAGGTTTACAACGATGCTTTTGTTACTTGTGACAATAGCTTCAACAAAATTATCAGCTGTATACTTTTAAGTTCAAGCTACTAGTCTTCTGTGGCAGTCTCTTTCAATAACGCAAGAACATGCTAGTTTCAGATTCCATTGGTTACTGCAGGAATTGTCCTAAGCTGACATATTTCAATAAGGAATGCTGATCTCGGACTATTTCAATCATGAGAAATGAGAACATACACATAATTTTGCTTCTGTATAATCCATTTATAACAAAAACTTGAGGAATGTCTTTCCTATGATTTCTAACAAACAAATTACCTTTCAGTATTCTAATATATCTGCCAAGAAAATTTAGCTGTTTCATAATAATTACTAAGCCAATTAAAGTGGTTTTTTTTTTTACTATTTAGGCTACATAATTTTATCAAATTCTCAATAAACTAGTTTGCACTGTGTACAATTCTTTTTCTCCAAATAAAAAATTCACATGGTACTGCTCAGAACCAAAAAGTAATTTAGTTTTACATCATATCAAGAATTGAAGGAAGATATAACTTATATATGAGTCAAATCAACTGATTAATTGGTAACTTGTAAAGAAATAATCGCTAATTTTTCAGAAACTCTCTCATAGAACTGTTAAAAGTATGGATTATTTCTCCAAAATAAGTGGAACGAAACATGCATCAAATTTATGAATTTCTCACTCAGCCTCTTCTAGAGATGCTTCAAGTCGAAGAAGGACAAATCCTACTGCAACACCAACAAGAACAAGTCCATTCATGACGGCTGCAATCTGGAAAATCTCACCTGCAGCATTGCATGTTGAAGAGGCTGCACCACTTCTTCCTTTGCCCGTAGATGATGGACACTTCAAAGAACTCACCACCTTTGCAAAGCACTGCTCAGTGCACACAGGAAGGCCTAGTGATGTCACACTGTTCTGAGCCTTCAAACCACCATAAGAATTGATTCCTCTGATAAAGTGCACATTATTGCTCTTCCTACTCCTTGTGCTGCGAATATTGCAGCTGCCCACAACTCTGATTGTGGCTGGAGTTGTTGCAGAGGCTGTGGTCATTATTTTCTGAAATGAGAAAACATCAGTAAAATGAATGAAGTTAGTTAAACACGATTGATGCTATAGAATATTGCTTGAATATAATATAAATTAGATAAAGTGGACATGTGTCTAATAATATAATTGGTGTAAGTAAAGTGTAATGAGTAAACCTTTTTGGTGATGAAGCTGGAGTGGATTTTCTATTTCCTGTGATGATTTTCTTGAAGGTGGGAAGGGACTTTGTATTTGGATCCAGAGGAACTAAAGGATAAGATACGAGTATGTTTGGTTGATAAGAAAATGTGATAGCTTGTTGACTTTGTGGCGTACAATTTTTCTTAGATGCTGGCCAACATAATTGGAAGCCCCTCATTTTTAGCTAGTTAAGTTCACTTATTTGGACGACCTTTATTTATTCGGCTTTCTTCTTGCATTGAGACTTCGTCTCTCAATAAAATAATAGCTTACCTTTAGTGTCTCAATTGAATATTTTTTAATTAAAACTATAATTCAATATAATAATTTTATGAAATTAAAAAATAATTATTATAATAAATTCTACTCTTAATTAACACTATTAAAATTGTCAATTCCAAATCTAAGAAAAATTTAATCTTGATGTTGTCGGTGCAATGATTCTTAAATTGTCAATCAATTAAAACAGTAGATATAATTTATATATAGTGTGGTTTGTGGTATCTAAATTTTTTTTTATTGGGTACTGTATAAAAAAATTATACTAATAAAAAAGAAACATATGATAAGATATAAAAAATATATATTATATATATAATTTATTTAAAATTATATTATTTATATTATTTATTATATGATCTTATTATATTTATTTTTATATATTAATTTTTTTATTTTTCTATTATTTTTTTTAATAAATTTTTAGTTTTAAATAAAATATAAAGTGTTTATTGTGTTATTCTAAAAAAATTTTATGAGTACCACATTTAAAAAAATTTATACCAATAAAAAAGAAACACGTGATATAATAAATATTTTTAAAAAAATAATGTTTATAGTCAATGAACTAAACATAGATTATATATTGTACATTAAATTTTTTTATTTTATTTTATTATTATTTTTTAATAAATTTTTAGTTTTAAATAAAATATAATTTATATTTAAAGAATTTTTATTTATTATAAATAAAAATAATTATAACATAATAATTAATATAATAATTAAATATTAATAATAATAGAATTAAAAATATAAAAAAATATTAATATAATATTATTATTTTATTTTTAAATTTTAGTTTGTTTAGTTTTGATTGCATCACGTTTCTGTTCAAAGATTTAATCGCTTTTTAGTTTATTTAAATATAGTAAATATAATAATTTACTATTAAATAAATTTATTATTTAAAACATGTATAAATATTTTTGGTTTCGAATAGAAAATAATTTTTATTTATTATAAATAAAAAATTATAGCATAATATATTATTATAATAATTAAATAATTAAATATTAATAATAATAGAATTAAAAATATAAAAAATATATTAATATAATAATATTATTCTATTTTTAAATTTTAATTCATTTAGTTTTGATTGTATCTTATTTTTATTTAAAGATTTAATCATTCTTTAACTTGTTTAAATATAATAAATATAATTATTTATTATTAAATAAATTTATTATTTAAATATATATATATATTATTTTAGTTTCGAATAGAATATAATTTTTATTTATTATAAATAAAAAAATTATGATATAATATATTAAGAGCTCGTTTTATTATTTACATTACTTTATTATTTTGCTTTTAACTTATCACAAATTTTTAATAATGAAAAATTGAAACTAAAACATGAAAAAACTTACATAATCCTTAAGAAATAGGGCAAAAACAATGAAATTAAATGGGCTGTTGATGGGAGTTCCTATAGTGCTCTTGGTGGACAGTGGAGCAAGTGAAAATTTTGTGGCTCCTCAAGTGGTCCTTTCTTTGGGCTTAAAAGTGAATGAGGAGTCCAAATTCAAGGTGAGGCTGGGAGATGGACACTTAATACATTCTAGAGGATGGCAATGAAATGACTCTAGATGCGCACGTATTGGATCTTGGGGGATTAGATGTTATCTTAGGGATGACATGGCTTAAAACCTTGGGAACCGTGACAGTGGATTGGAGAGATATGTCGATGCAGTTTTTGTGGAAGGAAAAAACGGTTGAACTTAAAGGAGTGGGCTCCGGGGAAAGTGGAAAACAGAGAAAGATAAAGGATGGTTAGGCTCCTCTCTATAGTTTGGTTGGTAGTACGACGACATTGATAGATGGGATGTCATGGTCCAAATTAGATCAAGAAGAAAGGGGAGTTACTGCAGACTTGTTAGCTGAACAACAAAATGATCTACAACAGATTTTAGAGGATCATAAGAACGTTTTCAAAAAGTTGAATGGTCTTCCCCCAAGGAGATCAACAGAGCATATAATAACCTTGAAGGAGGGAGCAGAACCAGTCAATGTCAGGCCTTACAAATATCCTCACCATCACAAAAACGAGATCGAAAGGCAAGTCCAGGAATTGTTGAAGCAATGGGTGATTCGTTACAGTTCCAGCCCTTTTTCTAGCCTAGTCATTCTGGTTAAAAAGAAAGATAACACGTGGAGAATGTGTGTGGATTACAGAGCTTTAAATTTCATCACCATTCCTGACAAGTTCCCTATTCCTATAGTTGAAGAATTGTTAAATGAATTAGATTTACAATCCGTATGAGAGAAGAGGACATATTGAAGACTGCGTTCAGAACTTATAAGGGGCACTATGAATACCAGGTTATGTCTTTTGGATTAATGAATGCTCCTTCTACTTTTCAGTCTACAATCAACATGATTTTTCGTCCATATTTGCGAAAATTTGTGCTTGTATTCTTTGACGACATCCTAGTATATAGTAAGGATTGGGCTTCACATATATGGCATCTGGACCGTGTCTTGCAAGTGTTAGAAGAGCATCAATTCGTGGCCAACCAAGGAAAGTGTAGTTTCGGAAGAAGGCAGATTGAATACTTAGGACATATTATTTCTTCTGATGGGGTACATATGGATCGAAGCAAGGTGGAGAATGTTCTAGAGTGGCTCATTCCTAAAAATGTAAAAGGAGTACGAGGATTTTTAGGCTTGACTGGGTATTACCGAAGATTCATAGTTGGGTATGGAAAGATTGCTAAACCTCTAACTGAGTTGACTAAGAAAGATGGGTTTAAGTGGAGGCCTGATGCAGAAAAGGCATTTAATTTGTTAAAAGAAGCTTTGGTGATAGCCCCAATTTTATCTCTTCCTAATTTTGAGGAAAGTTTTAAAATTGAAAGTGATGCCTCTGGCAGCAGAATCGGTGCAGTTCTTATGCAACAGGGTAAGCCAATTGCTTAATTCAGCAAGGCCTTGTTTGAAGGACATTTGGCTAAATCAATTTATGAAAAGGAGTTGATGGCTATGGTTCTTGCCATCCTACATTGGAAGCATTACCTATTGGGAAAACAGTTCTTTGTTTATACAGATCAACGTAGTTTAAAACACTTGTTGCAACAGAGAGTAATTTCAGCAGATAAACAGTGTTGGGTGTCCAAACTATTAGGATTTCAATTTGAGGTAATTTACAAACCTGGTCCAACTAATAAGGCAGCTTATGCCTTATCTTGAAAAGGGGATGCAGAAAATTTAGCAACTTTATCAATCGCAATCTATTTCCCTTAGTAGCAACAGTCTTCTGTAATACAAAAAGAAGTTATGCAGGATTCCATTTTACAAGAAATCATCCAACATTTGATTCAAGACCCAAGCTCCAAACTTGGTTATGTTGAGGTGGCATCCTGTTTTACCATGGTAGATTGGTGCTTTCTGCTACCTCTTATATGATCCCTCAGTTATTACATGAAAGGCATTCAGGTTTGCTCAGAACTTATAAACGTTTAGTAGGGAACGTGTATTGGATTGGAATGAAAAAGAGGGTCAAAGAGTTTGTTCAGGCTTGTGATATTTGCCAAAGACACAAGTATGAAGCAATGTCTCCTGCTGGAATTCTGCAACCCCTGCCCATACCTTCTTTAATTTGGGATGAAATATCCATGGATTTTATTGTGACACTGCCAAAGTCCAGGGGGTTCGATGCTCTAATGGTGGTGGTGGATAGACTAACCAAATACGCACATTTTATTCCTTTGAAACATCCCTATACAGCTAAGAGGATAGTAGAAATTTTTGCTCGGGAGATTGTTTGTTTACATGGCCTCCCTTCTTCTATCCTTAGTGACAGAGATCCAATATTTGTAAGTCACTTTTGGCAAGAATTATTTTCTCTCCAAGGTACTAAGCTACAACTAAGCACGGCTTATCACCCTCAGTCTGATGGGCAAACAGAAGTTGTTAACCGCTGTGTGGAAATTTATCTGCGTTGTTTCGCTTCGGATCAACCTAAGAATTGGTCCTTATGGGTTCCATGGGCGAAATTATGGTACAACACAACTTATCATTCATCTCTTGGAACAACCCCCTTCGAGGCAGTTTAGGGTCGCAGTCCTCCTTCAATTCCTAAAGTTGTTGAAGGAGAAATCCGAGTTGAAGCAGTTGGAAGGAAACTGAAAGATAGGGACGAGCCCTTAAATAGCTTAAGGGTCACTTACAAAGGGCTCAGGAGCAAATGAAAAAGTATGCAGATCGACATCGATGGCCACTAGAATTCGCTGTGGGAGATTGGGTGTTTCTCAAGTTATGACCCTACAAACAACAGTCTCACGCAGATTGTATTCATCAAAAGCTAGCCCCTCGATTTTTTGGTCCTTTTCAGGTTTTGCAAAAGGTTGGAAGTGTTGCTTATAAATTACAGTTGCCCATAACTTCTAAGAGCCATCCTACTTTTCATGTCTCTCAACTTAAAAGGGCTATTGGGCAATATGATTCTTCTACTGAGCTTCCTAACGACTTAACATCCGACGAATTGGCAGAACTTGCAGAGTGTTATCTAGTCGCATAATTTCAGCAGAAGGAAAGACAGTTAAACAGTTTTTAGTTCATTGGAAGGGTCTCCCTGTTGATGAAGCCACTTGGGAGGATGAATTTGCACTACAACATCAGTTTCCTCATTTGAGCCTTGAGGACAAGGCTAGTACTTTGGGAGGAGGTAGTGTTAGGACCAAGGAGGAAGAACAAATGATTGATAGTAATAGGAAATCTAAAGTATGGAAAGTGTATGTTAAGAGGAAAGGAAGGAAGGAGTCAACGGTTAGTTAGTTACTTGTTATTTGTTAAAACCTTTTAAATAAAGTTAGGAGGGATAGGAGGGGGTTATGTTTTGGTTTTGTAGAGAAATACTAAGAGGAAATATTGTTCAGTGTTCAGGG